TTTTTTAGCACTGACTTTAATACCTGATTTTAGCCATAAGTTTTAAACTCACTGGGATCGATATATCCCATGGATAGAATTCTTTGGTTAAATGATTTATTTATAAATATTTATTTAATAGCTCTTTGATTGGAAATGCATTAATTGATAACAGATTTCTACCACAAGTTTCCGTATATTTCTATGTCTAGTCTTATAATTATATAATATTTTTTACTGTCATTTCAATAATTACTTTTAAAGTTAATTATTTAATAAGAAATGTGTTTTGGTTTTCAATGAAATGATGATTATATGAATTGTCTGTGGATTTAGTCTAAAATAAATTGCTTTAAAGTTTTACTTTCAGTGCATTTTATATTTCATGCATTATTGGCTTTTGATAAAAAAGTTGATTGTGTTTTTGTTAATAACATTTTTTAGATTTATCTTTTTACTTTTTGTTTCGCTTGAGAGAGAGAGGGGGAGAGAGAGAGAGAGAGAGAGAGAGCGAGAGAGAAATCAAAAACCTCAACATACCTGTGACTCGAACTCATCCTTCCTATCCCTGAGCGCGCGGACCAACTGCTCGGCCAACCTCTCGGTCTCATCGTTCGCCTCCAACTGAGCCTCATTGGCGGCCGCCCTCTGCCTCCGGGCCACCGCCTCTTCGGCCTCCAACTGATCCATGAGTCGCGTAATCTGTTGCCTACAGTCGCCAATCTGTGTCTCGCATTGACTCAACTTGTGTTTCACCGCCTGGACGTCGTCCTCATAGGAGGCAGCCCTGGCCACCAACTCATCCAACTCGCACTCCATGCCCGCGCCGTCCATCTGCTCGATGACCACCTCCTGGTCCTGCCATCGCTGGTGGACGGCCTCCATCTCGCACTTGTATTCGCTGATCAGCAGCTCGTTGTCCATCAGGTTCTTCTCGATTAGCGTTATCTCCCGCTCGACTGAAGACATTTCCTATGGGAACAGATCCAGAGAGAGGGTTAGTTATAACGGCATTAGTTATATGGTTAGTGATGGGGTTTGGGTGGTATGTAGATTATTAACGTGGTAATAGTGGTGATAAGTATGGCTGACTTGTACCTTATCGGTATATTGTATTGTTTAGACTTTAATAATGTACTAATAATTAACTATTTTTAATTATTTATTAACTATTACTAATACTGAATATAAAACTGTGTTAAACACTCCCAATGATTATGGTATTTAATGTTGGGTTCACTGCTGGTTATCATCAATGATAGTGCGAATTACTGTTGCTATCAGTTATCACTTCCCGTATATGTTGTCTATTATAGTGAATATCTGTTTATAATAAATCTGTTTTGTGTACATAATATTGTGTTGAGATAAGTAATTATAATAGGATTATAAGAATGTTGTTAACATTATGGTGAAAATAAATGTGTTAACTACAATACAATATGGTGTTAAGCATTAGACTAATTTTGTAACATTAAAAATGTTTTATAATAAGCCTATTAAGCAACATGGGAATGTAAAATTATCATGTTTTACAAACAGTGTTTTTACCCATATAGTTTATAAATAATGTCAAAATTAATGACAACTCGTATTAAGTTGTAGAATATAACTTATAGTAAATGTAGTATAAATTTTTACAATAAACATGGCACTAAATCATTTACTACTTGTAATAACAATTGTTATATTAATAAATCAAATAATAAAAAATACATTTTAAAAAATTATTAAAATTATTGTAAAAAATTAAACTACTTTAAATTACACAAATAATAACCAATAGTAAATACTAACAAAAAACAAACCATGATAAAAAAATACCACTAAAATCAATATAAATTTACACCTTAATCACTACAAAAATAATTATATTTTAAAATCTCTATGACTGGAAGGGGGAGTGGAGGGGGTTAAGAGGTATGGATCAGGTGAGGGACAATGACATACCATTTCCTGCGCCCGCATCGTCTCCTTCTGCATATCGACCAGTCGTATGGCATCCCTATGGAGGAGCAGATCCTTCTGACTACCGGTGCCGCCGCCGCCAACACCACCCGCACCGACATCACAAGTGGTCCGCTGTTTGCTCTGCGTTTGGGGCGACGGCTCAGCCGATCGGCGCTTATTATTACCGCCAATACCAACGCCCGGACCACCGGTAGTAGTGTTGGTCACCACTTGTCGGCCGATTGTGTTGTTATCATCGGACGCGGAGGACGAGTCAAACTCCAACGGGTGTTGACTAGTGTTTGTGCCGCCGGTGCCCGTAGTGGTGGTAACGGGACTACCGGTACCGCCAGTAACCAGTGCCGACTTGTTAATGGCCTCGCTATAGGGCGGCGGGTGTCTGGGCCTATGGCCGGTGCCCTTAGGGCTGGTGACCATAGCGTCGGCGGTGTTGTTGATAGCGATGATTGTATTGTTATTATTATTGTTAGCGTTATTACTATTGCTATTAATGGTATGGATATTATTGATGGTATTGTTTTTGGCGATAAACTTCTGGTGCAGTTGCGCCGATTCGGTCAACAGCTGGTCCCCGGAGTGATGATTGTTATTGTTATGGTTGTTATGAACCATATTTGCGTTCATATGATTGATATTATTAACCAATTGGTTGTTGGCGTTAATGGCATTACTGGTAATAATAGGGTTGTTGTGGTTATTATTATGACTAGAGATTGAGTTAGTGTTAGCGGTTGTCGTCGTCGTCGGCGGGACCTGTTGTTTGACGGGACTGGCGGTAGTCAGCGGTTGGGCTGACCCGGGTATGGAGTGATGATGAGGGTTGGGATGGCTGCCGGTGCTGATGGATGTGCTGCCGCTGCTGCTGGTAGTGTTGCTATTGATTATGGTGTGAGTGCTGGTGGGTGTGGATGCGCTACCAGTGTTGCCATTCCTGGCCACAGCTGCGGCGGCGGTCGTCGTAGCGGCTGATGATAACTGTTTGGCCATCGATGGCGACAGTTGTGTCGTGTCTATAGAGGGAGGGATAGGATAATGAGAGTCAAAGAGAGCCATAGATTTAATGCTAATTAAAAGCAATTAAAAACCAAAATAAGTACCAGATTTTAGCCGATGACCAGACTTTCGGTTAATAGAGTTATTAAACACATCCCTGCGGTTGGGGCTGACCAGCGCTGGTGGCGGGGGCTGACCATTGACCAGCACCTGCTGCTGCTGTCCACTCCCATTGGCTGAGGTATTCACGGCTGGGCTACTAATCGAGTGCTGCTGAGGACTAGTGGCCAACGATAGGCCAGTGTTGGCCAGTTTGGCGGCCGACGCGGTGGCGGCACCGGTGGGTACAACCGGGCCGTCGCTGCGTTTCATCACAAACTGCACGTCAGTGGCGTATTCGCCCCAATGGCTGAGCACGAGTAGCGGGTGCTCTGTCGGCGCCAACAAGCGCTCGGATTGGTGGCGGAATTTTTCGATCAAGATGAATCGCCCGGTTTGCCCCGTGGCGTGCGCTAGGGCGAACACAACCTCTTGGCACGTGGTGGCCGCGGATACGCCACATACCACACGCTGTATGCCATCGCACCATACTTTTAGCTCCATTAGTGGCACAACCAGTGGTAGTGGTGGTAGTGCTGGTGATTGACCAACCGGTTTGGTGTGATGACTGCCGGCTACGATAGGCTACCGGTGCTGTACATCGCTGTGTCGGGTGTTTTGGTTACGGTTTTGGGTGTTTTTTGGGTTGAGATTTGGGTTTAGGTTTGGGTTTTTAAGATGTGTTGAGAAAGTCTTGAGATTAGTTGTTAACACCGTTTGGTTTGAGTTCTCGTGATTGGCCTCAGATCTGGAAAGTTAAATAAATAATTAATAATTATGCACATTTAATTTGTATCATGTAATATTTAGTTATCAAATTACAACTATTAATACCCAGAGTAAATAGCACTGAAAAATTCTGGTAAACTTTCTAAAATATACTTTTACCTGGCACATAAATAGTTTTTATTCTACAGTACACTTAACTTGATTATGACAATTAATTACTTACATGTATAATAATTAGTGGTGTAAACTAACTACAATATAATAAACATATTTTGCTAAACTAACTTTAACAATAACATCTAGATAATTTACGACATAACAAATGTTTAATCGTACGATAAATCAGGCAATAAATGGAATTAATAAAATAAATTATTGTGACATTTTTATGAACACTGTATACACAATTCAATAAAAACATCTCAATAGAAAAATAAAAACAATTATAAATTAAATACCATACATTATTTTGTTAACACCCATTACTAGTGAAATTAAATACTGTATTTAGTGTATTAAAAATATGTGTTTATTTGATGTTTATACAAAATAAAAATTATACAGTTAGGTGAGTCACAATATTTTACCGTAATTAGGTTTTTATTTATACGATTAAGGTGGTTTTTATAATGTGGTATTCATTATTATCATTACGTTTCGCTAGTATAATAAAATTACCATTAAATAAAACACTTATGGTGTTATTAATTTTTTAATAGTTTAATATAATGTTATTTATTGCGGTAAACAGTATATAAAAATGACACATAAAATACCCATAGAATTAATGTGGGATTATTTTGTTTGTTGAATAACACAGCTAGGTGACAAAAATAAAATTTTTACAAATGTCCCAGCTATAATAAATACTGCTATATAATTATTTATTACCGGAATAAACCAGCTATATCAAACAAATAATTAAATAAACATCATTCACCTTTTAGTAATTATTTGTTATTAGCAAACAATAAACAAAATGACCCAAAAAT